ACGTGATTGTTTTGGCCAATGAAACACCGGCAGATCAGACGTCCGGCCAAGACTTGAAGTGCGCATGCGCAGTGGGACTTGGCTCCTGCTCCTCGGTCTTCGCCGGGTCACTGGCCCAAGAAGGAAGAGAAAGGTAAGACTGGACCCAGGCTTAATCTGCAGTTTAGAGCCACTCAGCCAAACTTAGCCAGGATCGGCCAACCCCTAGCTGACCAACAGACACTTTAAGCTAGAATAAATGACTTTTAAGTTTTGGGGTGGCTTGTAATATAACAATTCGTGACTTGATACATTGGCAAAGACTTAGTTTCAGTTACTATGAGGATTGTGATATCAACTTCATAGTGTGATCTAAACAATGCGATGCTATGATCCCTTTACCCATTTAAGACTAATAATGTCCCACTCCTGACTTGACTTCCCCAATGGTGTATGTTACAATTTTGCCAAACTGGGACTACATTTCCCAGAATTCTCTTTCCTGGTGGTCCCGGGTTAGCACTGACGGCAAGGGAAATTTTCTGCAAGATTTGGAAGCCAGAAGTAAAAGCAGCAGACCTGTTTTTTAATGCTCTGAAGGCTGGAACAGGATCCCAGGAATAGTGGGTGGTCATGCACGCCGCGATCAGCTAGCTTGCCTTGTTCTGGGCCAAGTACTTATGCAACTCTGTGGAGAGGGGTGCCAGCTTCCCCTGGAAGTCACCCACAGCATTAACGTTGGTGGTAGTGAGACAGATGTAGATTCTGGTTTATATTTTCTCTTGTTCACGCCAAGCTTCCTTTTTCGACTACCAGTTGGGTAGACCAATTACTACTTTAGGCTCAACATCAGATGCAGAGATAATCACCTTCCCTTGATGCCTCCACTAGCTCCGCACCATGTAAAGTCTAATCCTCATAACACAGCTCCATTCTCTCTCACTCCTGGTTCTTCAGCTTCTCTGGATTGAACCCTGACACATTACGGCTGAGTCCATTGTTGTCTAAACCTGTAAAATCAGGGAAGTTCCCTACAACATAGACTTGAGTAATTTATTATGGAGCAAGAAACATCTAAGATTAAACTATCATTTATGTGCAAAATCTGTGCTAAGTGCTTTACATGCATTATCTGATTTAATCTCATAAAATTAATCCCCCATTCAGTATGCTGCACTCTCATGACCATCATCGGTTGGTGGTTTAAAGACACCTGCTAGCTACAGTGATGCTCTAAATCCTCAGTGCCATTAGGAGTTGTACACTGGGACCCAACATTCTCTGGTGTGACCCAGGCAGCCTGTGCTGTCCTAAAGTACGTACAGGTGGTGCCATTAAGGGTTTGCTTTCCCCTCTTCCTCATTCTCAACTTCAGTATTAATTTTTGTTCAAAGGTACAATCTTTGACCCTATCAAACACTCAGTTCCCCTCTAAGTATGAAGTCTGGCCCCAAATATTTGCCTAGTGACTGGGTCTTGATACCTCAGTCAGATCTCATATGGAAATTGCCCCAAGTGTCGATCTTCCTGGACTGAAGCAATGCTGGAGGCCCTATACTTACTGGGATCTCCTACTCCTTACTGGGCATGCACCCCCATTTGGGAGCTACTCCATATACCAAATCAAATACCTCTCACTTGCCAGACTGGGACTGAGGGGGCCACCTTCCTTGGAAACAGCCCGCTGGGCCGACCTGTGTCTCTGCAGTCTGCATTGCTAGCTAAGTTAGTTCCCAGCATTTGTTCTGTCTCAGCAGGTGCTGTGGCAAAGTTTTCCAGGTTGTACAAAGATGAAAGTTAGTGGGGCTTCTAATTAAGATACTCAAGTGGATTTGAGTGGCTTTTCAGTATCTGTAACTGTGGCAGTTTTGTAATACTAACTTGGCCCAGCTGGAACTGTTTCCCAGTATCTCTTCCCTATATGGTTATGGGTTACAGATGAGTAAAAAGGAGAAATCTGTGCAAAGTCTGGAAGGCAGAAAGGAGGCAGCAGCTGTGACTCTGGAGTGCGCTCCCGTGTAAGGTGGTGAGAGAGAGACGCAGAGGCGCTGGACGGTTGGCTTCCGTCCTCCATCTTTCCTGCCACATGCCCAGCTTCTTCCTGACTGCCACCTCTACTGACCAACGGCAACTCCAACTTCACTACTGGTGCTTGGCTGCAAACTCACAGAGGTAATTTTGCTAGAGAAGCAAAGACCCCTTCCAGGGTTCCCACTCCAGCAGCCCGATATTCCTAACTTCCAGATTTCCCCACAAATTCCAACTTGAAGAGGACAAGCCTCTTTTCCCGCTAACATGAGTGGTAAAGTCTGAAGACTAAAACGCAATTTTCTTTTTTAAAATGCTAAGTTGCTTTCCTAGAGTTGGAACAATATTCATTCATACATCTACAAAGAATTGTGTTTTGTTCTGACTTCTAGGGCTCGTCTGCAAGTGCATCTCTGCAAGGATGTAGAGAAAGGTGGAGATTCCCCCCACTCTACCTCCACTCTTATTTTAAGCCTTTTGTGGAACCGTTATTTCTCTTTTATGTGCCCTTGGTTTTAAACCCTTAGCAAAGAATAATTTGTAAACTGGTTTCCCAGTCAAATATGTAATCATGGCAATTTGCTAGGCAAGCAGCAGGGAATGGCGGGCATCCTCAAATGGAGTTAAAGAAATCCTAATTACATACACCTGCAGAAGCTGTTGCTTTTGTGAGGTATGTAATTAGCAGCCAATGTGTGCTGGAAAGTGTGATTGTCTGTTTAAATATGGATGCAGCCGAGAGGCCACCCAGTTTAGAGCTCTCCGACTGTGTACAAGAGCCCAGCCTAGGCTCTCCTGGCCACTTGTTAGGGCTGCCTGTCTGCCTGAATGCAGTGTGTGACCAACTGAGCTTACTCTCCGTTCCATGTGCAAAGCAGGTGTGATCATTTACAATTGGCTCCTTTTAGCGATTATGAAATGTCTGCTTTTCTAGCCCATTGGTTCTTGGCCTTGGCTACACATTAGAATTGCCAGGGACACTTTTTTAAAAAAAATCCTGATGCCCAAGCTGTGCCCAAATCAATTAAGTCGACTCTCTGGGGCAGGTGTCCCCAAACTACGGCCCAAGGGCTGCTTGCGGCCCCCTGAGGCCATTTATCCGGCCCCCCGCCGCACTTCAGGAAGGGGCACCTCTTTCATTGGTGGTCAGTGAGAGGAGCACAGTATGTGGCGACCCTTCAACGGTCTGAGGGACAGTGAACTGGCCCCCTGTGTAAAAAGTTTGGGGACGCCTGCTCTGGGGCATCACATTTTTAAAGTACCCCAACCAATTACCAATGTGCTGCCAGGATTGAAAACCATTGGTTCCCAAACTTTGGCTGCATTGGAATCAGCTAGCAGGCTTGTTAAAACACAGGTTGCTGGGCCCTACCCCTAGATTCAGTGAGAGGGAGGCAAAGGTGTCCAAAACTTTGCACTTCTCATATTTACTCCAAGAATACTGTCAGGCCGGGCACGGTGGCTCACGCCTATAATCCCAGCACTTTGGGTGGCCGAGGCAGGTGGATCACGAGGTCAAGAGATCGAGACCATCTTGGTCAACAAGGTGAAACCCCGTCTCTACTAAAAATACAAAAATTAGCCGGGCATGGTGGTGCACGCCTGTAGTCCCAGCTACTTGGGAGGCTGAGGCAGGAGAATTGCTTGAACCCAGGAGGCGGAGGTTGCAGTGAGCCGAGATCATGCCATTGCATTCCAGCCTGGGTAACAACAGCGAAACTCTGTCTCAAAAAAAAAAAAAAAAAAAAAAAAAAAAAATACTGTCAAATGCTTGCTGTGGTTTGGATATAGTTTGTCCACACCAAACTCATATTGAGGCTTGGTCCCCGATGTAATAGTGTTGAGACTTTTAAGAGGTATTTGGGTAAAAAGGGGTCTGCCCTTGAAGGAATCAATGACATATGGTGGGAGTGAGTTCTCCCTCTCCCCTGACTGGATTAGTTACCAAGAGAGCGGGGTTGCTATAAAATGATGCTGACTCTTCTGTACAGTACCTTTGCACATGCCTACTTCCCGCCGTGCTTCTCCATCATGTTATAATACAGCACGAGACCTCACCAGGGTCATAACATGAACTCCTCGAGCTCCAGAATCATGAGCCAAACTAACCTTTATTCTTGATAAATTATCCAGTGTCATGTATTGTTAACAGCAACAGAACATGGACTAAGAGATAGCTCAAAACAATGTTAAATTCCTTTTGGAGTTAGAATAGTTAACTATTAGGCATTAACTGTCATATTTTATAGGTAGTAGCTCATTTAATCATTTTCACAAGGCTCTTTCTCATCCTTCAGGTCTTAGAAAAAGTGCCAGAACTCACTCTCTTAAAAAGTCACCTGACCTAGCAACTCTCTCCCACATCACCTGGTTTATTTCCTTGGGGGCTCTAACTCATCTGTAATCTTGCTTCTGTCTCTTCTAGTTCCATGTTAAGTTCCCAAATGGCAGAAACCCAATCTTCTTCACCTAGTACCTAGCATGTGACAGGTACTTCTTTGCCTAGTGCGTAGCACATGACAGCTCCTTTTCTAATTGCAGAATGAATGGTTTCACCCCGTGTAAGAGGTGCTATGGTCTGCCTTTCACAAACCAGAACATAATTATTAAGTAACTCCTCTGAGATCACAGTGGAGGAACTAAGATTCTAATTGTCTTCTGACCAGACATGGGCTCTCAAACCATTCCAAGAACTGATCATCAGCCTTAAATATCAGTCTTGCTTTCCTGGTAATAAGCTGAGTTACTCATCTAAGAATGTCAACTTTCTTTGCCTTACTAACACTTGACTCAGCTATTTTCCATAACAATAAAAATTCAGAGCCCAAACTGTAAAAAGTGGCAATTTCCTTATTTAAAAACTGTCCATACCAAAAAGCCTATTAACAATGTCCCAAAGCAGCTAAGATTTCTACCTCGTATAAAATCATAAACATTTTAATTCAAAATGTTGACATTTAGAAGAAAAATTACATGAAAGCAAATTGATTTGAAATGCAATTTATTCTGGCAATAAATATGTGTAGTCATAAAAGTTGGGTGCTTTTTCCAAGAAAAATGTTTCTGAATGTGCACACTAGAATATATGCAGAATCCTTTAAACAGTCGACTTCATAATTATTAAACTCAGAAGTGTGGTAACAACAAGTTATGGAAAAATGGACTTTCTTTGTAATTCATGATTTAGTTTAAGTTTACAAAAGTTTTAATTGCCATTTCAGTTCCTAGAAGCTACCAAGCCTGAAATTAGATAACTGACAGCTGAGAAATGAAATCACCTGATTGAATCTCTTAATTGTACCGCTGAAGAATCCAAAGGCCTTGCCAAAGATTACAAAGTTAAAAAGAGACACAGCCTGAATTACAAATCAGTTTTTATAGGTGCTCCAGAAATGTCTTGGCCTAAATAAGGCACATGTATCACACAGAACTTTAGTCCTATCTCAGAGTCCAGTTTTACTTTCCTTTCTCTTAATTTTTTAGAGATGAGGTCTTGCCCCGTCACACGGGCTGGAATACAGTGGTGTGATCACAGCTCACCACAGCCTCACAATCCTGGGCTCAAGCAATTTGCTCATGGCCCCTACACCCTGCTAATTAAGAGAATTTTTAAGAGACCAGGTCTATGTTGCCAAGGCTAGTCTTAAATTCCTGGTCTCACCTGATCCTCTTGCCTCAGCTTCCTGAGTAGCTGGGATAACAGGCAGAAGCCACTGCGCTTGGCTCTCATTTTACTTTCTGCTTAACACAGGATTCAATCTTGACGTGTTCTTTCATAGCTCATAAACTTAGTGACTCAATTGCTTTAGAAATAAAGCAATAAATGATTTTATTTAGAAATAAAATCATTCCCATTATTGCAGTATTATCACCAGTCACTGATTGCTAATGCTATTTATGCTGCTTTTTTTCCTGGGATGTCTGAACCTGCCGACTATTCCTGTTCTTTGCAAACCTACATCAGGGGTGTCTGTTTGTGTTTGAAGTTCATCAGGATCAGAAACAGCTAACATGTCAGCGATATGTAGAAAACCATCAGCATGAGCGTGGGACAGTTCATTTCTCCTTGCAGCTGATCCCACCATAGAGAGTACCCTGCTCTGTTCATCTGAGCAGTCACTTTGCTTTTGGATGACTTCTGGGATGTCAGTGTCCCAAACAGCAATGAGATTTCTCATCATATCCAGAATATGCCACATAATATACCAAGCACCTTCAGCATACAATTTTTGGTAATTTATTGTCTCAGCCTAGTGGCGGCACATAGTCAGGCTGCTGGCAGGTAAAAGAGGCTACTCGTTTTAATTTAAACCTCCAGTGAATGTGCGTAGTACATTTACCAATTAGCAACAGAACATTCATATTCTGGCAAGTTGTTTTTCTATTGCAGGAGCCATTCCTAAAACCTGACAGACATCAGTGCATTACATTTTTAAAATTTATGCACAGTAAAGTTGTGTATATACAGGGAATCTTCAGATTTCCAATGTGAATGATTCAAATCTCTTGCTATTCTTAGTACTGCAGCAAAGGAAGATTGAGAGCCTATCTTTCTATATTTCTTTTTCTCCCGGGCAACATTTCTCTGCAGGAATGAGTGTCTCGTTTGGCTGCGTGTTACAGAGGCTTATTCAATGTGCTCTCATGGGCATATTTATTCACAATAGGCCCCTCACTTTCAAACGCATTCTCTGCTGTAGATGCTTTCCCTTGTAGTAGTGAAAGGACACTGCAATATGCCAAAGGCACAGCTACCGCCATGAAGACTTGACATTAACCCGGATCTGGAATGCCATTTCATTAGCCTTATCAAAAAACAAACAAAAACCCATATGAAGAAATATCACTTGCTCTGATTGGGCAGTCATTCAAACATTTCATTTACTACTCTGGTATGATTTGCTCCTCTCATTCTGTCATCAATTTTACTTCTTTTGGATGTTTTTCATCTTGTCCTGACTTCCATGGAATATGCAGAATATAAGAAAACTCCCTATTCTTTCATCTCTTCCCTGTGGACTTTCTTTCTTGTTCACCAACTTCTGGCTCTGGAAAAATCATGACCCCATTGTATCTTCTCTTTAATACTACAACCTAACTGTGTGCATGAAGCATCACAGAAATGACATGCTGAACAGAACATGCCCATTCTAATGAGAAAACTGAGGAGACTGGTTTGGTATAGAAACTGAAAGTGTGGTACTAATGAAGCAATTAATTTTAAATATAGAACAGCAGAACTGATGTCAAATTTCAAAGGAAGGGCTAATTTTAATCATGTTAATAACCAACTCAAAAATACAATCTTTTTTATTAAGGAATCCTAATGACTGAGGTAGATGACGCTGTTATCAGTTATTGAAGTAATTTGGTTTAAGATATGAAAATGATGAAACCGAGGGAAAGAAAGCACTGTTTTGAAATTATCTTCTTTTAAATTTAGATGGATAATTAAGAATGCTTCCAATTTAAGGTTCTAAGCACAAAATCCAGATATGTCATGTTATAGACTTGCTTCCTGAAGATGAAATCAGCAGTCGATGGAAAGAATCCACACACTTACAGAATAGCAAATCACAAATGGTGGTCTCCATGAAGCCAGTAGCTTTGCATTCAATATTTCTATCTAGGCTCATTTCCAATTGTTCAGGATTTGGATTCCTGAAGGCTTCTTCAGCATTTAACTAATTCTTTGTTGGCTGAAGGGGCTGGGACTGTTTCTCCACACACAAACTGATCCTAAGACAGAGAAATGACATTAACCAATGAATTTCCATGTCACAAATGCATTAATATTAAACCTTCATTTTGTTACAGAATCAATCCAGCTCTGTTAATCTTGTTTTTCTATTGCTATTATCATTTCATCCTTGTTCAAAGAGCCAATGACAGCACCAGAATCTGAATCTGAAACATGTATCAGTTTTTGGTTCTGAATTCACTATTTAATATAAAGCACCTTATAAATATGCCCATCTTCAGTGCAAAGCAACCACTTCCCAGAAATCACAGAGACATGCCACATCTTTTAATTTCTGTATTATTACTCACACTAAAACTTCTCCACTTTAATAACTGGTCATTCAAATACCAGTCCTCTTCAAAGTAATTACTTCTTCCAACTAAAAGGAACAGGTCTTTATGTGTTTCTCAACACAGATAATCTGCAATGTTAGCTACTTTGTAAATGAAATTCAGTCTCTGATCATTCATCTTGACTTATCTCAGCTATCACAAGAAATCTCTGCCTCTGAGGTTACCCCTCACTTCCAGCAATCTGATTCCTGAAGGATCAGCCCTGACTCTGTCCCTACTGGTCTGTTGCTCAATATCTGGAACTCCTTCACTGTACTCTGTGGAATTCATGATCCATTGTCAGCACAATGCACCATGTTCTCAACCTCTTCCTCAAAATGTCATCTTACCCCCAAGAGCATTGGTAGTATCTGGAAACAGTCTGAACTGAAACAACTGAGGATTGCTATTGGCATCTAATAGGTGAAGGCCAGGGATCCTGCTAGACATGCTACAATGTGCGGGATAACCCTGCACAACAAAGAATTATCAGGCCTAAAATGTCAATAGTGCTGAAGTCGAAGTCGAGATTAAGTCATATTCTTTTTTTGTCCGAGATGGAGTCTCCCTCTGTTGCCCTGACTGGAGTGCAGTGGCATGATCTTGGCTCACCACAACCTCTGCCTCCCGGGTTCAAGCGATTCTCCTGCCTCAACCTCCTGAGTAGCTGGGACCACAGGTGCGTGCCACCATGCCTGGCTAATTTTTGTATTTTTCATAGAGATAGGTTTTCACTACGTTGGCCAGGCTGGCCTTCAACTCATGACCTCATGATCCATCCGCCTCAGCCTCCCACCGTGCTGGGATTACAGGTGTGAGCCACTGCACCTGGCCTGATGACGTCATATTCTTAAGGACGGTTTCCCCTACGTGCCCCTCTAGTGGAGGCTCCGTGTTCTCAGAGTCCTAGTACCAGAGGGATTGGAAGTGGGGCTAGTTCCTCCTGTTTGCCACTGTTCTCCTTTCCTGTCTGAAACCCATCAGTTTAGAATCTTATGGCTTGAGACTACTGCATTGCTATTCTTCTCTGTTGCTGTCATTTATCCACCTTGGATGCCATATTCCAACCCCTCTGGACCTCCACCACATTCATCCTACCACCCATTCACTGCCCCTCACTCCCTTCATGTTCCCTTTCCCTAGTTCAAACTCCATGGTCAGGTATAACTACTCTTCTCTCACTCCTTCTTTTTCACTTGGGAAAACCACAAACCTGGTTAAATTTAACTTTCTGTGTCCATATTCACTTACGAAGACTGAATTTCTATCACCTTAAACTCTCTCTTGATTCTCTATCCCCACTGGTTATCGTCCCATGTCTCTGCTCTCCTTTGTTGCAAACTCCTTAAAAGAAATGGCTATACTCACTGCCTTCTGTTCTCTTATTCCCTCCAACCAGTTTTCTGCCCATTGGTTTCTTCAATCATGTGCTGTTCCTGTTACTCCATAGAAACTGCTCTCATCACCATCACAAATGAACTCAGTGTTGCTAAAGCTAATGGTTAATTCTTTTTCTTTTTTGAGGTGGGGGTCTCAATATGTTGCCCAGACTCCTGGGCTCCAGTGATCCTCCTGCCTCAGGCTCCCAAAGTCCTGGGATAATACAGGCGTGAGCCACCACACCCAGCCAAAGCTAATGGTTAATTCTTTTTTTTTTTTTTTTTTAGTAGAGATGGGGTTTCACCATGTTGACCAGGATGGTCTCGATCTCTTGACCTCGTGATCCACCCGCCTCAGCCTCCCAAAGTGCTGGGATTACAGGCTTGAGCCACCGCACCCGGCTGCTAATGGTTAATTCTTGATTTCTTTCTATCAGTAGCATGTGACAAGGATCACCACTTCCTCCACCCCTTCTCATCTGCTTTCCAGGATTTGACACTGCTGACTTTCCTCCTTCTGGGTGGTTGCTCCTTTACTGTCAGCTTTGGTGATTCCTCACTTCCCTCCCTGACCTTTTAATACTGGAACACCTTAAGGCTCAGTCCTGTATTTTATCCATCTCTACATTTACATACCTGGAGATCTCATCCAATCTCCTGGCTCTAAATGCTATCTATTACTGATAACTCCCAAATTGACATTGCTAGCCAATTTTCCTCCATGAAATCCAGGCAGGCATATCCAATTGCCTTCTCAACAGCTCCACTTGGATGATAGTCTTCTTAAACTTAGTATGCACAATGCCAACCCCTATATAGTTACATTCCCTCAATGGATAGTAACTCCATCCCCCCAGTCATTAAGGTCACATATGAAATCACCCTTGAGGCACTCCTTCACACCCTATATCCAATCAGTCATTCAAAGTGTATCCAGAATCTAAGTACTTCTCATTATTTCCATGGCTGTAAGCAGGTCCAAACGACCCATCTCCTTCTTTTATTAGTGTAATAGCCTCCTAACTGGTTTTCCTGTTTCTATCCTTGCTCTCTATAGTATTCTCTGAACACAACAGCCAGAATAATTTTTTAAACAAACTTAAGTTGGATCATAGTACTCCTATGTTTGAAAACCCTCCAGTGGTTCCCTACATCATTCACGACAAGAGCCAAATCCTTAAAGTGATCCACGAATTTATCTTGGACTACTCTCATCCTGCTCTGCTCTGATCACATTGGCCTTCTTGTTGTTCCTTGATAAAATTGGGCATGTTCCTGTCTTAGGTCCCCTTCACTGAACAATCCTTTGCTAGACTCCCTTACTCCCTGTATCCTCATATGTACATGGCTCACTCCCTCACTTCCTTGAAATCTTTACTTAATAAGGCCTTTCTCAGTGAGGCCTGCCATGATCACCCCTGTCAAACTGCAACTTCCTCCCAGACCAGCACCCCTGATCTTCCTTACCCTGTTTGCTTTCTGTTGCAGAGCACATTTTAATACAAGAATGAATTATTAGATTTCTAAATTATAGTCTAAATTACAGCCTGCTTCTCTCATGAGGCTCTGTGCCTCATCCCCACTTTTCCCTATATTCATTTTAGAGTTCATCCTTGAGAGTGTTAAGCTCCTTATCTAAGATTCCATTCAACGTACTGAACAAAACTTTGAGTAAGAGTGGGAAGTAATAACTTTTTTTTTCTATTGTCAATATCCTTGGGTGAAAGACAATAGGGCAACTAAAGACTAAAATGAAATTATAAAGCTGCACCTAGGAATTAAATCTTAAACAAGATAATGCAGAATTCCTTGTATAAACAGGCATGAAATACCATACAATTGTTCCCTTCAAAGTAGGAGCTGTAAACAATTTTAATTACATATTAAATAGAAAAGAAATATAAAGATTGTCCACTAAAATAATCTACATAATTACTTCTCTTTTTCTTTCCCTTTTTTTTTTTTTTTTTACTTAGATAACTGGTAAAGGATTTTGTTTAATTTTTCTATCTTTAATAAGTAATAATTTTTACTAAAGCTAGATTTAGCGCCAAAGCTAAAATAAATTATGTAATCTGAACTTTAATAATTTTAATTTACTATTTAGCTGTTTATCAATGGTGTTTAAAACCTGCCTGAAAAAAATACTGCACTTTACCTAGCACACTCAAACATTCTCTTGCACTCATCACTGCCAGGCTGATCTAAGTCCTTGCCACTGCCTTACAACCCCCTTCCCCCATTTTAAAATTGTATCCCTTACTTTGTCATAAATCACTTTTATAATGAGAGAGCAGCTAGGACACGTTGCCACGTCTTCCCCATTCTCCAAATCTTCCTACAACGAAATCAAACACCATGTGGTCAGCACAGTCTCTTCGCCATCTCCTCCCGCAAACCTGTCCCACCCCTAGGTGCAAGTTTCTTGTGGCTTGCCTTCCCTCCAGGGTGGGTGAGAACCCCAGGGCCTTCAGTGAGAAATGCCAACTTCATTCTCCTAAAGAAGCGTCGCTTAGGGGAAACATCTAGGCATGTTAGGCGAGCTTCGGTCGCCCCAAAGCCCTGGGAAACAAAAAACGAGTCCCCTCCTCAACAGAGATATTCCAGGCTGGGACTCTAAGGCGGGGATCGGGCAGGGAGACAGAGGCTCCCGCCGCCCTCTCCCTGGCCTAATCTAAGGTCAGAACTACCTGCCTACCGAGAGAGCTCAGGGTTATTAGCTGGGGTCGGGGTATGCGGGAGGAGAAAGATTCAGCAAATGGAAAGAGGGCGTGGGTGACCCAGAGCTTCAAAGACGACCCAGTGACGCAAGGAACAAGGCGGACCGAAACTGCGCTTGCTCGGGTGAACCGCCGGGCGAAGCCCTGAAGTTACCCTGGTGATAGAGAAGTTATCTCCACATGGGCAGGGATAGAAATACGTCTCCGAGTCCTCGTCATATTGGAAGTCCTCGATTTCCACCTCGTCGTGAAATACTGCCATGGTCAGCGGGGATCGGCAAGGGGTGACGCTCCGGCAGTCCTAACGCAGCTTCGAGGGTCTAACTTCGCCGGAGCCGGCCAGGGCTAGGCATCATCACGTCACGCCGGGCTAAAACCAGCGCTTCCGGCGCATAGGCAATGACGCAATTCCGGCCTGCGCGGCCAAAGGGGTAACCGGTAGCGGTCACCATGGAGATGGCTGAGCTAGGGGCGGAGACACTGGGAAGACTGCAAGACTTGCTCAGCGTGGTCGCGCACCTCTCCTTCTATTGGACGGCAGCGACCAATAGACTGTGGGACTGGCTCGCGCTGCTTCGTCAGGTGTAGGGCCGCGGAGTATCCCAGGCGCCGGTAGCTGAGTTTGGCCGCGTCTGCAAGCTAGGTCCCAGGGGGTGGGGTAGGTTTCCCTGTTTCTTGTCGCCTTGTTTAGGCCTTAAACAGCGGGCTGAAGGCTGCAGCAGGTGCTAGGTAGCCTCCTCCCGGTCCTCTCGGTAGCTCTCGGGAAAGGCGGAGCGGGGAGGCGAGAGCAACTTAGACTCCTCGACCTCTCTTCCCGGTGACGGACGAAAAGTTCCCGTAGAATTTCGCTTCACCGAGTGACCTTGAGCCCAGGGCGACGGTCAGCTTGTTCCTGGCTGCAGGTACATTTCGCTTCTTTCTGTCCCCAGACATCTTAAAATAACCTAAATTGCGTTGCTGAAAGGACCAAGCCCTGGAAGGCAAGGATTGAGTGCTAGTCTTCTGTTTGTCAGGTGTATAACATTATTAACTACGATGATTTGTAGTAATAGTAATAATCTTTTATTATTGGGAAGTTATGTGCCAGGTATTGCACTAAGTGGAATTGTCAACTCTAGGAGTTTACATGTTATTCCATTTTACTAATCTTTAAACTGAGGTACAGAGAGTTGGGCATCTTGACCAAAATCGTACACCTAGGAAATAAGAGCTTATCTGTCTCCAAAGCCCAGGAACAAATTACTTATGTGAGTACCAGTTTTTTCTTTGTGACAGAAACGGTATCAGTGGGCAGGTTTATTAGTATGTTTGCCTTGAAATGAAATGCAGGTGAAAGGCATTTTGTCTTGAAAGCAGTGCTAGTGCTTGTTTTGGTAAAACCGATTCCATTGGGTCTTAATTACTTGGTATTTTAATATAGAGAAGGAATGCATTGTAGTGAAAAAGAAAAAAAGCCCTTTAGAGAGAAGATCTGGGATCGGGAATCTTGAGTTGCTGACTAGCCCTGGCAACTGGATATTTACATTCTGTGGGCCTTATTTCCTCTTCTAAGAAACTGTTTGAGTAGAGATGATTATAAGATTCTTTGTAGATGTAACGTCCCACTTTTGCATGGAAATTACGTGTTTTACTTGGTTCAGCAATTATATACCATATTTAGTTTACATTTACATAACACATATACAAACCATATCCCTATGCTTATATTTGCACACTCATATGTTGGCATGAAGTTACGTATTTTGTGCACCCTTAGCCCTTTTAAAGCTTGAAAACTTAGAGGCAGAGGAGTTTTTGGGAGAAAATCCAGAAGTTACATTATAGGACTTTATGGTGGATTATTTCAAAGACCTCACAAACACTTGATTTTCTGTAATATAGATTTACCCAGCAGTTAGGAAACTTGATAGCTTGTCAAGGATTAACTGTGATTGTTCTGGTCTGTCTGGGCAAAGGAGAAATCCCAAGCCCGCACAGCTCGGTGGCTCCTCCTTGCATCACTGTTGACGTAAATACTTCCCACATAGCCTCTTGGAGACAGAAAAAAATGGGAGATTCTCTGTGTCTATTCTGTAGTCCTGATGGTCATTTTGAGGTTGGGAGCCATCTTTATTTCTTTAGTACTTCTGAGTGTAAGTACTTGAAAATTAAATATGAGCCATTTTCTTTTGTAGAGAAATGGGCATAGTCATATTTGGCTTATGGGAAGTATAAATTGGTAGATCTCTTAGAAAGCAGTTCACATCTATCAAAAACAATTTGCTGAGGAATTTTAAAATCTGAAGTTAGTAGTCCTAAAAGTTACATGGGTTGTTGGGTAGTTTTTCTTTGTAATGTTCCAACTTTTCTTTGAATACATGTTAGCTGAAATGGAAAAAACAAAGCAGCTACTTAATAATAGTTGACACTGTGTTCGTCATACACTATAACCAAATCCTTATGTGCATTATGTCATTAAAAAAAACCCAGTGAGGTGTAAGTATCGTTACCCCCATCTTTAACACTGAAAAGCATGAGGCTTAGGGCCTGAGGAACTTGCCTAAGCCAAAGCTGGTAAATGGCAGTAAGCTGTGATGAGAACTCAAATCTGTCTGGCCCTAAAATCTAGGCTTTTAATTAACAATGATGTCATTGGTGCTGTGATGGTACTTCAAGCAGAGCTCGATTTAAAAGGCAGCACTGTAGCTCTGCAGACTGCTGAGATCTTCCACTGAGCAGTGCTCATTCCCACGAGAACTAGGTTTGGGGAGCGGGGAGTCTCCATGGCTTTCCATGTTTTCATCCTGCCATCCATTGGCTGTCTCCATTGTCTGGCCAGAGGTGGCTGCTCTTAATGTTCTGCCCAATTTGAGCTTGTACTGTGCTGAAGAAAGTGAAACCATAGTCAAGCATGCAGTGTAGTTTATTTTACTTCACCTAGCACTTTTAAAGAACACATTACAATGACTACTAAACTTTATATTTATTCCTAAAAGGATGGAAACATTTTGTAGTGACACACTTTTGGACCCTGAGAGTGCAACACAAGCAGATTTTCTAGTTCCAAGAGTAATTTGAGATCACTCGTGCTTTTCAGTGTTGTTTATTTTATCATAAATGCTAACTAACACTGCATATCCAGAAAACAGTGATGCCTAGGATTCTTAGCATAAGTTCAGGTTTAGAAGTAGGTCAGAATTGTATGATGGAAACTATAGTTGATGAGTACTGTTGTATATCAGGCCAGAGGGAGTTGTTTGCTGGCAATACCAAACCTCCATCTCTGTAGGTAGTTTGACAAGGAGGAGAAGGGGTTAATGTATTAGGATTGATTTTTAGTAACGCTCTTGCTTGTCAGGTACTTTGGTAGACATTTTATTTATTCCTCTCAGTAATCCAGTGAGGAGTGTGGGTAGTGTTAAAATGGCAAGAGGAGACTTGCTGAAGATGAGAAAGCAAGGAGTCACCCCTGAGCCCAGTTTTGCTGAGTTTCAGTCAAATACTCTGTGTCTGTTACCTGTTTACCACTAAGATTTCTTTGCCTAACGGAGCACGAGGAGCCCTTTTGCTTCCTCAGTGAAGATTCTAAATTGACAGATGCCATGATTGTTCTTTGAACTTACTTAATTTCAGTGCATTTATGCTTGTTGAGACATGCTTGGCTTTTCTCTTTTCGTCATTGTCCTCTCACACCCTGTTTAATGTATCAGCAAGTTTTGGGGCTCTAATTCCAAAACATAGGTCATGTTCATCTACTTCTGCCATCTCTGTAGCTGTTACCTTATGATAACCTTAGACCAGAGCCTTAACTAGACTTCCTTCTTCCACTCCTGCCCCTTCCTATTATCTTTCCCACAGCAACTTGAGCAGTCCTTTAAAAATATAAATTAGACCTTGTCCTTCTCCTGACTGATTCACTCTTCAGTTGCTTCCTGTTACCTTTAGGTTCCTACCATTCTGTAAACTGCTGGGCTTCATCTCATTTCACTCTTACCAGCCTATTGCTCTCCGATCACACTGGCCTTAGTTCCTCTAACATACCGAGCTTATTTCTGTGTTGGGACCTTTGTTCTTGCCAATCCTTCTGCCTGATTGGCTTGCTTTTACCATCTGCTCAGCTGCCTTTTCCTCATCCAGATCTCAGCCAAGCTGTCATCACTGGAGAGATGTCTTTCCTAATATCTTCCCCACCTACCCCATCACTCTCAATTCCTTTATCATACTCATCATAGTCTGTAGTTATCTTGTTAATTATTTGTTTACTGCTATCCGTCTCTGGAACTGTAATAAAAGCTTCATGATGGCAGGGGCCTTGCATCTGGTTCTTTATTGTATCTTCAAGGTCAAAATAGTGCCTGGCACCCTTGTAATTGTTGAATGAACTGAGTATACCTGTTGAACTGAAACCAGTATAATTAATCTTAAATCTTAAATTTAATCTGTTGCTTTCAGGTATTTGTTTTACTACGTATTTAATGGGCGTGAGTTTAATTTAACATTTATTATAATCTGCATTTCAGAAATAAAGTTAATTAAGAATTTTGTTAAGGGAAGGCTTGTGAGGATACAGACATTGATGGGATATTCTCCTTTATATGGTTTTAGAAATAACTTGATATATATTGATCTGCTGTGGTTGATTAAATACTTCCAGTATGAAACCACTGGACATATTTCAAAAAATTAGTAGGGTTTCAGTTTTTTATATTTTACTTAAAGGACATAAAGCTTTGGAAAGCACTTTGAACAGAATTTTATAAAAATGCCCTTTATGTACCAGTAGGTGGCACTCTTGGTCATGGTTACTTTTACAAAATGTTAGAATTTTAAAGAGAACTGCTTTTAAAATTAACGTTTATTTTCCAGTTTAGTTGAGAAGGAGACATTCAGGCAACATAATCATTAAACGATGTATCCTATTGTGAGGACAACTTATTTTAGCAATAGTTGTCTAAAACATTAAGCAGAACAGTATTTCCATATTTAACTATATAGTGGTTAGATTTTATCAGGGAACTTGGCCTTAAATGACATGTAACTGTGTCATTCTGGGCTTTGGTCTGCTGTTTCCTGGGGTGGATATCCTAAGTAGCAGGAGTTAAAGACAGGCCAACGAAGAACAAAAGAAGTTGTAAGATAAATAAGCAAAAAAGAAAAATGGAAGCATAGGGAAAGAATGGATGGAGAGGGGGTAATTGAGAGTGGGTTTGCTGTGAAGTGATGCCTACTGATTATAATAAGCCTTTCCTTTTGCAGCTAAGAGGTAATAGTGCTTTGATCAGTTTCCCAAAACGTTGTTATATGTTGTTTGTGTCATTGCAGGAACTTTGTGAGAATTTTAATGCTTGGAAAAACTGTCTGTGTTTCAACTGGTGTACATCCAAAAGTCTCAGTGTAATAGCAGGAACAAAATATTCTATCAGTCAGCTGACCATATACTTAATGACTCCTAAAATCTCGTGGACTTCTGAAGTAAGTTTCAACTTCTTTCTTTCAGGGATTAAGGCACCATTTTGGGTTTAGCACGTTTAATGGAGAAAAATGACATTTAGTGGTCTTGAATGAGGTTCAAAGGCCTTCTGCTTTTTTTGTTTACCAAAGAGCAAAATAGCAAGTAGTGTGTCCACAGTGATGCTGCAATATACTATGACAAGAAGAAATATATCTTTTATTTAGAGACTAGTTATGAGGGAGTGAGGTTTTTAATATGATTTGGTTACAACTGAATACAGATGACTTATATCACCACCAGATTTGCTTATTTGTATTTATTTTCTGTCTTTATCTATTAGAATGCAGGCTCTCTAAGAGGGTTTTTGTTTTCTCCATGCCTATATCACCATTGCTTAGACCAGTGCCTGCCACATACTGGGCCCTTGATAGATATTTGTTGAATGAAGGACCAAATTAATGAATATGGAGTAGGAATGTAAACACTTAGCTTGAATATTTTCCTAGCACCAACTTATTACAATTAATTTATGTACTACCTCCCAAAAAGCTCAGAAAAAAAGTATTCACATGTATTTTCATTTATTCTCAAGGTAACTAAGATAGAAAAGGATAGATACAGCAATGTAACATGTTAAATGTGGCCATTTAAGGCAAATAAATGTTTAAAAATGGACATAGGAAAATGATGTAAAAGGAACCAAAAAGAAATATCATCTGACTCTAATCAGTGCTTTTCTTGATAGGCTGGTAGTTTTTAGATTTTGAAATATTGAAGAATGTGTGTGTACGTGTGTGTTTATGCTTGAAGTTCAAGTACAAACAAAAAACTGCACAAATCCTAAGAGGACAGCTTAATTAGTTTTTACAAAAAATGAAAATACCCATGCAGCTGGGTGTGGTGGCTCAAGCCTATAATCCCAGCACTTTGGGAGGCTGAGGTGGGTGGATCACGAGGTCGAGAGCTCGAGACCAACCTGGTCAACATGGTGAAACCTCGTCTCTACTAAAAATACAAAAAATTAGCTGGGCATGGTGGCGCGTGCCTGTAATCCCAGCTTCTCAGGAGGCTGAGGCAGGAGAATTGCCTGAACCCAGGAGGCAGAGGTTGCAGTGAGTCGAGATCGCGCCATTGCACTCCAGCCTGGGTAACAAGAGAGAAACTCCGTCTCAAAAAAAAGAAAAGAAAAGAAAAGAAAATACCCATGCAATCCTCACGAAGTTTAAGAAATAACATTGTCACTACCACCTCCCAAGGGAAACTGCTAACTAGATTTCTGACAGCATAGATTCATTTTGTTTGTTTTTATACTTTACATGATGAGAATCAAAGAATATCTGTTGTTTTGACTCTGGCTTCCTTCATTCAGTATGTTATTTGTGATACTCATCTATGTTACTGCATGAAGTTGCAGTTTGTTTTCATTGCTCAATAGTATATCTTACTGTGTGAATGTATCACAATTAGTTTTATCTCCTCTAGTAATGGCATTTGGACCGTTTCCAGTCTAGGCTATTACGAATAGTATTATCTGTTTTGGTTTTTATTATCTGGGAACCTTAAGCTTCTTGTTTGGAAACCTTGGTAAATTTATCTTCCTCTTACACTTTACCTAACAAGAAATATAAAAGACTTCTGTAGTGCTTTTTAGATAGAATACAATTATCAAAAAGTTATAAAATCTACTCCCCTCTTCTGTGATAACAGAAGATTAGTCATGTGAATTTGATCAGAGATTTTAGAACCAACAAAGAACATAAATATTTGATAGCACCAAAAATTACATACTTAATGGACACAATTGTGGAGATACCTTGAATCAACTCTGAATAGTGGCAGAAACTGTGTCGAGGTTAAATTAGGCTCTTGGTTGCTTTGCTGGTAGCTTGACTCAAAATAGCACCAACAGAAACCCAAACTCTTCTTCACTGACCCTCTAAAATAGTCTGATATTTCCCCACTGTTTTAAAAAACAGTTTTGAATTTCAGTTTTATGTTTGCCCAGGAAGCACCATGGCCTGTGCCGCTGTTATGATTCCGGGGTTGCGGTGCTCTGTTGGAGCTGTGTGTACTCAGGGTGCTTCACTGAGATTGACAGTCAGCACTGTGCGCCACCTTACTCTGACCAGGTGAGTCGTTAAGCCTTCTATGCATTTGAAGTTGATTTTCAAAGACACCTGACCTGCTGATGGTCCCGAGAAGCATATCAAACACCTGACAAGGTAACACCTTGGCTTCCATGTGCATGCTGTCAGGTTGTTAAACTTTTTTTTTTTTTTTTTTTTTGAGAGGGAGTCTTGCTCTGTTGCTCAGGCTGGAGTGCAGTGGCACAATCTCAGCTCGCTGCAACCTCCACCTCCTGGGTTCAAGTGATTCTCTTGTCCCAGCTTCCCGAGTAGCTGGGATTACAGGCATGTGCCACCACACCTGGCTAATTTTTGTGTTTGTAGTAGAGAGGAGATTTTGCCATGTTGGCCAGGCTGATCTTGTACTCCTGACCTCAGGTGATCTGCCTGCCTCAGCCTCCCAAAGTGCTGGGATTAACAGGCGTGAGCCACGATGCCTGGCCAATACTTTAGTTAGATGGGCAAATACTTGCTGACCATATTATAGGATCCATAATGTTATATTGTATTTAGGATAACCATGATATTTCAGGACAAACTAATTATATGATTTTTATGAGGATAATACATAATAACCTAATTTTACTTTCTGTTACAGCATAATGAAATCCAAAAGGAAAACTGATCACATGGAGAGAACTGCAAGTGTCACTCGACAGGAGGTTTGTATCTGTGGGGTATGGGAGGTTTTTCCAGCTAGGCAGTTTACATGTGGTTATGATTGGCTGGTGGGTAAAGCGTTAGATGAGTCTGGTCCTTTTGAAGGACAGTTGGGAAGTTTGTTATTTTTCTATTTAGAAATTTTCTGAGCAGTACGTATGATATCTGATTTGAAAAGATGACAAACAAATACCCAAATTTTTCCCTTTAAACTTGGAATGATGGATTAACTTTTGATGAAGGGAGTATAGCAGCAATTGAGGGAACCATCCTCTCAAGTGTGATGTTTAGGGTTATATTTTAGCACTAGAACTTCTTTTAGAGCCTATGAATAGCTTACCTTTTTCTTTTCTTTTTTTTTTTTTTTTTCTGGTGAATCACATCTCAAAGTCCTTGTTCTCATTCCTACTTTAGAACAACTTATTTCATCAACTTATTTCATCAAGGGAGAAAGCACTAACATCTGAGAAAGGACAGTGGGCGAGCTCTTGTTATCCTTCTAATGTACAGATTTTTTCCCACCATATTCAGACTATAGAAAGCTAATCTACCACCTGAAGGGGTGTCAAGGGCTGAGACATAAAGGATCCTCACCCTTTACCTCAGTGAGTAACCCCATTTTTATTTAAAACCATAAATTGGATATTGGATTTTGCTTTTTTGAATGTTTATCACTTATTCAGATAAGTTTAGCTTAGTGTTATAAGCCTATTTAAGCTAACAATTAAAAACTGTATTTTATATAAAGAAGGATTATATGCTTCTACAAACATGGGCAGAAATTATATTGTCTCATTTAATTTTATCTGTTAATAGAAGGATACACTTTAATGTAAAGGTATACTTTTCAGAAAATTACTTTGGGACTAAGGGTAATGTGGTTGTTGATTCAGCTTAAAGTTCCTGGGTTTTTTTGTTGTTGTTGTTTTCTTTTTTTGAGAAGTCTGTAAAATTAGTTCAGCAGCAGAGTAGATTTAGGAGCTTATGGGGAAGTACACTTTTTCCAATGATAAATCTGAAAAGACTTTTTTTTTTGTTTGTTCAAGTGACCAAAGACGCTGATTCTGTAAATGTGAGACTTAACTGTTAGCATTTTTAAAAAATGAAGGCCTTGTAAATTATGAAGATAAGTGGTTTATCTTACAGGCTCTTTCCTGTTGTGTTTTGAGGCTGGTAGAATTAGAGCAGAGGTTGAAGAACTTTCTCTAGAAGGCCAGATAGTAAATGTTTTAGCTTTCTTGGGCTATGCTGTCTTAATTACAACTTCTAATCTCTGATTTTATAATGTGAGAAGAGCCATAGAAAGTATGTAAACAAATTTCATTTACCAAACACCCAGATTTGGCCTGCAGGTGATAGTTTGCTAGTCTCTGAATTAGAATATTCATTTCAGAATTTTATATTACAATACCAATTAATAGCCTGCAGAAACTAAGTACAATATGAGCAAAAAGAATCATCAGGCATTTACAAAACAATTAGTACATTATTTACTATTTAGCGTCAGCTGATGTTTATTGAGCGCCTCCTATTTTCCAGGACCCAGAAATCTGTTACCTTACAGAGTTCTCAAAACTGTGTCGTGAGATAGATAATAGTATTTTAAGACAGGTAAGATAGATAGATAATAATAGTACTTTCTTCTTGTTTTTTGAGACAGGGTCTTGCTCTGTCACCCAGGCTGGAGAGCAGTGTTGAAATCATGGCTCACAGCAGCCTTTATCTCCCAAGCTTGAGTGATCCTCCTGCCTAAGCCTCCTCAGTAGCCAGGACTACAGGCACACTACTGTGCCCAGCTAATTTTTAATTTTTTGTAAAGATGGTCTTGCTGTATTGCCTAGGCTGGTCTTGAACTCCTGGCCTCAAGTGATCCTTCCTCCTTGGCCTCCCAAAGTGCTGGGATTACAGGTGTGAGCCACCGCACCTGGCCAGTATTTTCTTTTTAATAGATGAGAAGATTAAGAATCAGACTAATAGGAACTTGCACAGCATCCCTCATAGGTATTAACATACTTAATTACATTGACTGCCAATTCTAAGGAAACATATCTATTTTTCACATTTGTATTGTTAGCACAAAGTCTTTACTTTTACATTTTTCAAATTTGTATGGATATAAACAGTATTTTTATTCATATCACCGTCATTTCTCTTTCCCAATGAAAGACCTTTGTCTCCCTAAGGTTATCACCACTTGTCTATAATTCCTTGCTTATTAATTTTAATATACGTAAGTGGGAATGTGCAGTATTCAGTATTCTGTTATTCTGCAATTTAAAAATGAGGCAGGTGCATAGTTTAAAGGTTACACCTATTAAAAAATAGATACTAATGGTGCATCTTTCTGAATATGCTCACACTTCCTTTTCTTGGGTGTGTGCTTTCCCTTTTCTAGTAAATTACCATACTTTCACTAAAAAAAAGAAGATATCAGCTATGGTTTCTAAAATACACTTAAATATATTTAAAATTAACCTCATTAAAATTTTTGGTTTACAAAATAATCGCATAAATACAGTATGTTAAAAAGCGTAAATGACTGTGTATTATGATGGTTAGTGACGTATAAGTACTGATCCACATGTTCTTTCAAGTTTGGAGTACCTCACCTGAGAACTGGGCTAATGGGCAGTTCCTTAGTTTGGTTCAACTGGAATAAAATTATAAAAGATGTATTTTCCTTTATGTTACAGATATATAACTATAGCCAAAAGGTCAGATAACACAGAATTCAGTAAATATTGCAATAGTTAATATCAAGTTCTAGCCAACTTCTAGTATTATGAAAGTATATCTAATCTTACAGAAAACCTCTTCTAACAAAGTTATCTTAAGAAAAAGGGAAGGAGCTATAAAGAAACAGACTATTAGAGAGCTAGTAAATATTCTTCTTTTGTAGGTCAGGAACTGAGATTCAGTCTGGATGAGGAACTTGCCCCAGCCCTGTGCCGGTGGTGGATCCGGGATTGATTGCTGAGCCTGACTTCTGTTTCAGGCTCTTCTGAACATGCCCTTGTTCTCTCATCTTATGTCCGAATTGTGTCATTTATTCACTAAATTTTAACTCTAATTTGGAAAATTATCAACTAATAAAACTGTTTTTCTCTTCAGCACAACTCCCTGGTTTTTAAAAGAACAGGATACAGTCCCTAACATTAGAGCACTGTCATAGGTTCCTTAAGATCAGAACTTTATACAGGAAAAATTTCCCTTTACATCTAGTTTGATTTGGCTAGAAAAAGCTTCTATGAAAGTCATAGCTTTAAAGCCTTTTTACTCTATATCATAGTGACATCCTATGTTGTGAAACAGTTTTTATCGTCTGACATTTTCTTCAGATAGTTTTCCTGCTTTAGCTGTCTTATAAGAACTTCCAAAGACTTTAGTCTACCTATAATTTGTTTGTGGCTCAAGAAGAGTTATGTTTGAATGTAGCTTAGAGACTTTCTGCCAAAAATGTTCTTTATTTATGTCTTGTCTGCAGTAAGAATGTTCAATTTGTGGCCAAGCGTGCAGTGGTTAATGTCTGTAATCCCAGCACTTTGGGAGGCTGAGACAGGAGGATCACTTGAGACCAGAATTCAAGACCAGCCTGGGCAACATAGCAAGATCCAGTCTCTACAACAAGTTACAAAGTAGCTGGACATGGTGGTGTGCCTATAGTCCTGGCTACTCAGGAGGCTGAGTCAGGAGGATCACTTGAGCCCAGGAATTCAAGATTACTAATGTGAGCTATGATCGTGCCACTGCACTCCAGCCTGTGTGGCAGAGCAAGATCCTGTCTGTCTGTCTGTCTCTCTCTTTTTTTAAAGAAAATGTTTCATAGATTTACATTGTTATATAAGGAGTCTTCAATGTCTGTGTCTTCCATTTCCATGGTTTCTTTTTGGGTAGATATAAAAGAATTAACTACAGGTTTAGAAAAATGACAATAATAGATTCTTTATTTGTGTTTAATCAACTGTTTGATTAATTGTGGTAACTAAGAATGAATTATTCTGTGCTGACTTGATTTTCATGGAATTATTTGTAAAGTTTGGATTAGCAAGATGATTAGTAGTTATTTCAAGCACTTCTTCAGTTTCTAAAGACTGTTGAATACCTTCTGAATTTGAAGTTTTCCAAGTAATAGTTGTAGAATTTAGATACTCCAAAGATTTGTGAAAACCACCTATATCCATATTTTAGTTAACTGATGTTTCCACGATATATTCTGGTTTCCTAGTTAATGTTGTTTAACTTGTTTAAGAGTTAACGTATATTTTGACTTGAACCCGGGAGGCAGAGGTTGCAGTGAGCCGAGATTTCCACCACTGCCCTTCAGCCTGGGCAACAGAGCAAGACTCTGTCTCAAAAAGAAAGAAAGAAAAGAGGAAAAGAAAAGAGTTAAAATGTGTTTTGTATACTTCTTGGTGTTGGAAGCTGGTGGCTTCACCAAGGCAGATGAATCAAGTAATTCCGTGTTCAGGGAGCACATCTGTATTTTCTTTGCCTCATTTAATACAGGTGATTTTTCTAATTTGGCTTTTAGGCGTACTTTTTTTCTCATCATACAATTTTTCTTCTGGAATTTTTGTTTTAGAAGGGTCTTCTTCTTGGTTGTCTTTAGGTAAAGGGAAAAATTGTTGGAACTACACTTTGTTTTAAATACCAAATTCCCCATCTGATGTCAAAAGAGTCAGGAAATACCAGTTACTATGTAGTAACTGGTATTTGCCTGAAACCTATCAATCTCACTTTATATTTTTTCACCGTTTTCAAGTATTTCTTTGTCATTTAGGAGAAATGGGTAAAAACTCAGCTTCTGATCTTTATTTTTTTTGTCCCTGGCGATTCTTAGAGTAAATAGCTGTCCTGTAGCTGAGTATCGCTTCTATGAGGTCCTGGGAGACCAGGGCCAGCAAGAGGTGCGAGGCAGCTGTTCTTTCATTTTAGAATTTTACAGGACAAAATTATTGGGACTTTTGGGGGGTTATTTCGAGCCAAGTTTAGGTAAACTACA